AGTTTTATTGGACCGAAACTGCACTTATTTGTCTAAGAATTGTCTGTGATAGCTTTCATTCTTCAGTAGCAAAATTGAGTACTTAGAACACCAAAAGATGGTCTGCAAAGCCTTCAACATATTTTTTTCTCATCCTTTCAAAAAAAAAAATCTTTATCTCTGGTATATCATCATTGCCCAATACACATAAATGCAACACACACATGTAATGATAATTACCAAGCATTTGAATTAAAAATCAGAAATAGGTGAAATTCAATTTCATAATGTTTCAGTTTATCTTATTCAGTTTACCCTGTCTTTGACTTACTTGTGATCCAGTTATAGTTCGGTAAGTCCACGGCTAGTTGAAAATGTCATTAATAATGCATTTAACAAACTAAGCATAGCTTAGTCTCATCCAAATTTACAGTGTTTTACACAAATTCTGCTTACAGTATGCTATGGATAGTTGGGAAAATTTTCTAATGCAAAACCCATTAATTAATAAGGTGTTAAATATTTCATGTAATTTTTGAGTAGTATAATGAAAGTGAAAAACAGGATAGCCTGCTGATACTGAAATGTACATGGCTTTGTATCATCATGAGTTAAAAAAAAATTCTTTAAACCATCATAAGTTTTGGACCATTTGTATATACAAAATATTCTTTTCACATATGGTGCTGATCAAGTTTTAAGGGTATAAACATATGTGCTTAATTACTACTATATTACACAGTGTAGTTCTTCAGATGCAATTAGGGCAAGCTGGAGACCATGCTATAGAAAAATGGTTTTTTAAAAAAAAGGCCTTCATGGGTCCAAGAGAATATAGCTGGTAAGAAAATTGCAAAGTATGCACCAACTCAGCTTTGATTCACATCACATCTGATCCCCCTTGAGTACTGTGAGGTGTAGCCCCAACTGCCCCCCACCTCAATTTTTTAAAAACTCCTTCTTGGGACATTACAGTTTTAAATTGTGGCTGTTGAAATCATCTGAAATATCCTTTTTCTCATTTTACAAATGAGTGAAATTAATTAAAATGCATAAAATAAATCAAATAAATGCATTCAAAGAATTTAAGGCCAATCCACCAATAGAGAGAAAACAGGCTTTCTCTCCTTAAAATATGATGAAACCACGGGATTTTTCACATGTACAAATGTTATCTGTATGGTTGTTTATTCCCTTCTTTGAAACTAAATTTCTCCCACTGCAATTTAAACAGTTTCTATCCTGTTTTACCCTCAGTTGACTCTGAGGAAAACAGCTCCCCATCATTAATATGATATTGTATTCCTTTAAATCCTTTAAGGCCCTGCCTTTTCGTACCACAAAGATTTTTTCTTTGTCTAGCTGAACAAATTCAACTCCCTGAACATTTCAAACCAGGTCTTTAAAAAAAAAAGTTTTAGAGTATTTATCATTCTCTTTTAAATCTTTCTATCCCTTCCAAAGAAAAGGGAAAACAGTATTCTAATAAATTCAAAAATTCAATCATGAAGAATGCACTACAGAGATTTTATAACATTAGTTAACATATGGTAAGCATGTAGAAACATGCATTTAGTATGCTACTTTTTTCCATTTAAACAATTTACTCACCTTACAGAATTCTTAATTGAATGATTAAATTATTATTAATTATTTGATATTTAATGTCTCACAAAATGCACATAAAAATTTATGAAACACAAAGTATCATTAAATAGTTCTAAATTTTAGGCTTAATATTCCTCATTTTCCCTATTTAAGATGAATTTTCCCTTTTGAAGCATTTTACTATGATAAGTCTATGCTTTTTATGTCATTGTTATGACATAAAATGACATAAAAAAAGATATGTACCCTTGAAATGTCCTGCTTATCAAATATGCAAATAAAACACTAAGATAAATGTAAAGAAATGCTGAGAAGACAAATGTATGCTAAGCAATGAAGATAATCCTATTCATAAAGGAAGAAATGCATGGGGTTATGTGTTGAAACGTCCTATGCATGAAATTCTATCATCAACAGTATTGTAAGTCACAGTGATGAAATAATTCTATTAATAACTCTAGTTAACATTAGGACTGGAGCGATAGCACAGCGAATATGCCAAAAACAGTAACATTTCTCACAATGGAGATGTTAGTGGTGACTGCTCAAACAAATCAATGAACTCTGGGAGGACAGTGCTTCAGTGCTACAGTTAATATTAAAATCCATAATACCAAAATATAGTATAAAAACAATGAAGGTAAACCACCTCATTCAGGTATCTCAGTCCGGAGAAATTAAAGTTTGGAAACCATACTTATCTGATGAAAATGGAAGCAGTCTGAGTAGAAAAACAAGGCACTGACTTTTATTGCTTTCTGGAGTCAGGAAACAAAGTTATATCAGGAAAATATGAATCTGTTTACTATTATCACTACTAAAAGTGTAGGTCTGAGGTCTTTCAAGAAACTGAAAAGGAGAGCAGTTTACCTTGAGAAAATTAAGCTGGTAAAATAGGTTCTTGAACTAGTTTTATTGCTGCCAGATCCCAGCCATCAGAAATGTACAAATCAAGAGACATGGCCACATTCTATTATTCTATGGAGTAATTCCCAGTCTACTTTGTTGCATCAAACCAGGAATATTCTACATTCAACCTGGCTCACTCACTGGGTTTTATTCCGTCCTTGGAATATATGTGTGATTCCAGTGGAATACTATATAGCTGTTAGAAAACATGAAGTCATGAAATTTGCATATAAGTAGATCAACATGGAAAGTATCATGTTAAGTGAAATGAGTCAGAGAGAGACAGACATAGAAAGACTGCACTCATCTGTGGAATATAAAGTAACAGGATGGGAGACTAACACTCAAGAATAGTAGAGATAAGGACCAGGAGGTTTGCTCCATGGCTTGAAAGCGAACCTCACATGCTGGGGGGAAAGACAGCTCAGATAGCGAAGGGAACACCAAGTAAAGAGTGTTTGGAGGACCCACTCGGGTTGGGAGATGCATGCAGAATGTACACTATAGACCAAACATGATGGCTACTCAATACCTCTATTGCAAACCACAACACCCCAAAAGAGGGAGAGAACAAAAGGGAATGCCCTGACATAGAGGTGGGGTGGGGTGGGTGGGGGAGGGGTGGTGGTGGTGGGAGAGATTCTGGAATCATTGGTGGTAGAGAACGGGCACTGGTGGAGGGATGGGTATTTGATCATTGTATGACTGAAACACAAGCATGAAAGTTTGTAAGTATCTAACTGTACCTCACAGTGATTCACTAGTTAAAAAAAAGAATATATGTGTGATTAAATTTACCATTTTAGCAGACTAAGATTTAAATTTAAGATTTAAGAATTTAAAGAATGAACACCCTTTTTCTCTTACCCGTGAGGGACCTCTTTATGTAATTCCATCCCACCTCTTCTACCCTCTCTCTAGTTTTGCTTCTGTGAGAATGTGCTGAGCAATGAAAGAATAGTAATTATCATTACCATTAGAAATCAAACAATAAATGGTACTTATATATTCATTTCTTGTTTTTTGTTGAGTGTGTCCCAGTTCTCAAAAGACTGCCAAACCCTTTTCTCACTGATAAAACTAAAGCATATCTCTTGGGGCTGAGAGATAGTGTAGTGGGTAGGGAGCCAGCCTTGCACACAATGAACCCTGTTTGTATTCCCATCACCTTACATGGACCACACCTATCCAGGTAGTGATCCCTGAACACAGAACCAAAAGTAAAACTCCTGAGTACAGCAGCTGAGTTTCCAAAACAAAACAAATAAACAACAACAACAACAACAAAACCCACTAAAGCAGATCTCTAAGCCGAAACAGGCTGAAGAATTCATGCTGTCCAGCACTCAGTGATGCCAACTGGAGATATAGCTTGACAGTCATCAGCCTTTTCAGAAACTAATCCTTTCTTCCATCTGTCTCTATGCATAGAAAATAAAACCAAATCTTGTTTAAGGGCTAGAGAGCTAGTAAAGTGGGTAAAGTGCTTGCCTTGCATGCTGTTGACACAGGCTCAGTACCCAGAGTGTCTGTGGCCCCCCCAATGATCCCTAAGCATAGCCGTCAGACCTGACTAAAGCAGGAAAACAAACCAAATATATATATATATATATATATATATATATATTTAAAGTTCTTATTCATCATACTTTGACAGTCTTTGTGATATTAAACAATAGGAAATGTTAACAATATATAATTAAAAATATACTAAAATTTGGCTCAAACTTCTACTTCTAAAAATAGATCCTAGTAAATAACACTGAATATGAAAATTGTTTAGATTTACAGAAAATTTATTCATGAAATGTAATACAGGAAACAATCTATAAGGCATTTGAAAATACCATGTATGTAGTGGAAAGAGCATGATGTATCGTTATTAAAAGTAAATAGATTGTATGAAAATGTTTGCGTGAAATAAAAGACTACCTCCATTTGTGCATTTAAAAGGTGTAATTAAAACATGATATGGGGTTAACTTGTAAGTAAGGAAGACAAAACTATGAAATACTCCTTTAAATAAGCCAGTGAAAAATTCCATATTATAGTTAGAACTGAAAAATAGTAAAGTTACTGTGTATACATATTGAAAGATTTAAAATCCTAAAGTGCCAGTGACCCTAGAGTTGCTGATTATATCAAAAGATTTTCCATATGAGAGCCAGATTTTCTGATACATTTTAAATTTCTAATAAGTAATTTGAAAGGTCAACTACTCTCAAGCAGAAAAATGACTATTAACCACAGAATAGAACATCCTCTCCCTAAATGAAAATCATCTAGATTTTAAGAGATAGCTAGATTTGGATGTCAGAAAAACTTTGTGAAAACAAAAACAAAAATGTGAGTAGCACTTAAATAGCTATCTCAATGATCTCAGAATCACTTGGTTCATCTGCATTTTTATATACTGATATTTAATTGCCCCATATTTATGAAGGCATATAACTTCTCTCTTGTTGATAATGTTCTTTGTGATCAGTAGTTGGATTTGAACTTACCTTACTTGAAGACTCTACCTGTAGACCATGGCAAGGTGTTGGCCCAAACTGGTAGGAGCTGGAGAGTTTCTGTTCTACAGTTTTGTGTTTATGTGTCTCTGAAGCAATTGGCAATACAGATTCAGACTTTAGGAGCTGTGAATCATCACAGCAATTCAGGATGATTCTCGCTCTTTCTCCTGTTTCATGCCTTTCCAAAGTGCCTGAAAAAATAAAATTAAAACTAAAAATTGTGAAAAACATTAACCTCAAATGAATAAAAAGAACAAAACAACTGAACAGAAAAATCACAATTCTTGAATTTACACAGCCTTACTATTTATTGCAGCCAGAAATCTGGGCCCTTTTTCTAAATTATTCAAATCACTGTCTGACGAAGGCCAAAATTATGGGTTTGTAATGCGCATTTTCCACTTTGTGCTTTTCATCCACTGAAATCAACAGGACACTCAATAGTTTTTAACAATAAAATCTCTTACTTAATATACAGCATTGCAAGTGATCAATAACAACTAACTCTGGAATATTTTAATGCTGTCCCCTAGTGTTCCAACTCACAAACAACAGAAAATCCATAGTGTTTTGCTCGGGTTCCCACATTGAAAACATTTCCATTGTCAGTAGATTATTTAAGTGAATCAGAATCCAAGAAAGAAGACCGATATTTTGTGTTACTACCTCCATCACCCGTTGAATGCCCTGTCTGATTCAGGAAAGCAGGCTACTTCTACTGTTGCTATAACTCTGGTATTGTTATAGTTAGACCATATGTCCACTGGCTTTCATTTATTATGTTACTGTGGGGGTGGGAATAGTACTTTACCCTCTTTCTGCTATTCTTTCATATTTTTAAGGTGTTATGACAAGTTCAATTCAAAGTTAAAATAAGTATAAAACAGAATCCAGAACTATAAAACAATAACAAAGAGTTCATGTTCTAAAAAAAAAATCTTAATATGCAGTGAAATCTCAATAAGTACAGATGAGCTGCAGAAAACTCAGATATGTGGGATTTGTGACTGAAAACTCCAGGTTCAATGGAACCAGGAATGGGTAACCCTCACCCATGTCCCCCTACATTTCCAGCAACTCGGCTGTCAGACACACAAGCCACCTCTGACTGGGGCCAATCTCATTAATGGCCACAATCCAGATACTCATTGTCCTTTCCTCTTAGAAGTGAGCATAAAATGCCACACACCACAGCCATGCCTCTAGACCCCACGCCAGGCTATTTCATTCAGGAGCGCCCCAGAGTGGCTGGGTGAGGCCCCTCCCTGCCTCAAGGACACAGTCCCAGTAGCCAAAAACTTCCAGAACTCACAAGTTTCCATGCTCACGGCTGCTCTCTACATGCTTTGGCCAAGTCGCACACACAAGTAAACCTATCCTTGGACCGTGCAGTCACATTTGAGGCCACACAACATCTCGTACTTCACACCACTCATACTCCAAAAGTAGTGCACCACATTTGATGGGGTTTAAAGTAGAAAGCAACCAACTATAGAGGGAAATATATTTTTACAGATAAGCAAACAAGGCTCAACCTTTAACAACAAATTAGTAATCTCTTATCAAAGGAACCTCTCAAACAAAAGTAATTAATACTTCGTGAAGATGAATATTTCCCAGAATTTATGATTGTGAAAATGTAAAATTTATAGGTTTCTCTGCAAAACATTTTCTTCTCATGGGTTGTCTGTGCCTACACAATAATGATATTTTCTAACCCTGTATTTTAAAATAATCATAATTCTTGGGAAGTACCTATTTTCTAATTTGCCTTGAAATATTTTGTTTATAGATATCTTACGTTTATTACATCTTAGACAAATATATCTACTGTTTGTATTTCTTGTCTTTTTTTGTAGTGAAATAACTTATCTGCAAACTTGTCAGCTGTCATCCATTTTCACTCATGAACAAATAATTAATGATTTTAGCATATACTGTGTTCCCTTCACCATGCTTTATGCTGAGAACAAAACAGGAAATAAGAACTATTCCAACCTGAACCCTAAAAGCTACTTAAAATCTCTGAGAAAACATCAGGAAAAGAATTATTGTAATATTAAAAGCATTACAGAATGTTTCCACTTCAAACAAAAATATCTCCCATTCTAACAAAATATTGACCTTTGTAGACAAGCGTTCCTACCATAATTAATTATAAAATACTTGAAAAATACCTAGGGTGTTTTGTTTTAAAAAATTGGACCAAATGTGTTAAAAGAAGCTGATTAGAGGAGTCCTTAAAAACAAGCAAGTAACATATTCAAAGTCACACAGTGGTTCCAAGATAGGACCGAGAAGATCAGCTGAAGAACTTCACATCGGGACCCATGGCCTAGAATGGAACGAACAGGGTGAGAGGCTGTCTGAGTTCATCATGGCGACCAAGACCATCCATGGTAACTCACAGTTCCAGAAGGCAGAATCTAAACGTTGGACATGGGAGTCTCCCAGTGGACGATTCCACAACGAAATAGACCACATCATATTCAATCAATGGTTTTGCCTGACCGATGTCGCTGTTGTTCCAAAATTTTGAACAGGATTGGACCACCGTCTCGTTCATGCAAAATTCTACTTCACAGAACGGGGAGAAAGGGCTGCAAAGTTTTAAAAGAGAACTCCCAGAAAGACGACCAACTGGGAGCTCTTTGGCACTATTGCAGCAACATGGGAAGATGCCATTGTTGACAACATTGACGAGGAATACTATCGACTGGTTCAGCACCTCCATGAATGTGCGAGGAACGCCAAGAGAGAGATAGCCACAAAAAAAGCCTGTCTCCAAAAACTCTTGAGCTTATTCACCAGCGTGGTTTGGCGCATGTCTCAGGCAACTGCAAAGGAAAGTCCGAGCTCGCAAAGCAGTGCAGAGATGTGATCAAAGAAGACCTCAAAGAGAGAAGAGCAGAAGTGCTGGTAGATGCGGCAGAAGCCGAGAAAAGTATTCGTAACGCCCGCCTGTCCTTCGCCAACTACAAGACCAAGATGACTGTCCTCCGACGTCCTGATGGATCCATCACATCCTCCAGAACGGCAATGGAGAAGATTATCCATGACTTCTACTCAAATCTCTTCGATAGCCACGTCCACATGCCGACATACCAAATTCCACAGGATGGATATGTCTTTCCCAACGTTCTCCCTTCCGAAATCCGACACGCCATTTCGTCAGTAAAGAAACAAACAGCACCCGGCCCAGACAAGGTCAGACCTGAACACCTGAAGAACCTGCAGTCAGTACTCATCAATACACTGGCTCGGCTCTTCACTCGCTACCTGTCTGAATGCAAGGTTCCGTCCCAATGGAAAACCAGAAGGACCGTACTACTGTTCAAGAAGGGAGACATCCATGACATTGGCAACTATTGCCTGATCTGCCTATTGTCTGTCATCTACAAGTTGTTCACTCGAGTCATCCTAAATAGGATTGGCAGAACACTAGATGAAGGACAACCATGCGAGCAAGCAGGGTTCTGCAAAGGATTCAGCACCATCGACCATATCCACACGATAACCAAGCTCATTGAGGTTTCTCGGGAGTTCAAGATGCCGCTCTGTTTAACGTTCATTGATTTAAAGAAGGCCTTTTATTCTGTTGAGACGGAAGCAATTATTGAAGCCCTAGCCAATCAGGGCATTCAAGCCCAACACATCAAGATCCTCCGTGAGCTGTACTGCGAATTCACTACCAGGATCTCACCATTCTACAAAGAAGTGATTGTTGATGTCAAGAGAGGGGTTCGGCAGGGTGATACTATTTCACCGAAACTCTTTAGTGCCACCCTCGAGAATGTCAGGCGACGACTGGAATGGGAAGGAATGGGAGTGAAGATAGATGGTCGGCAACTACACCACCTCTGCTTTGCTGATGACATTGTTTTAATAACACCAAACATCAGCCAAACAGCACAAATGCTGGCCGACTTTGACCGTGAGTGTGAAAAGGTAGGACTACAGCTGAATCTTACGAAGACAATGTTTATGAGAAACAGCCTCATTCCTGATGCCCCATTCACTCTCAACAGAATGACCATCTCCAAATGCAACAGCTATGTGTACCTAGGTCGAGAAGTCAACATGACAAATGACCTGGCACCTGAGCTGCTCAGGAGGAAGAGAGCGGCTTGGAACGCCTTCAAGAATGTCGAAGAAATAGCTAAGAGGATGAAGAACCTCCGGCTCCGGGCACATCTCTTTGATTCCACTGTTCTTCCTGCATTAACATATGTCTCAGAGAGCTGGGCCCTACGCAAACAGGATGAGAACGCTATTCAGGTCCCTCAAAGAAGAATTGAAAGAGCTATGCTTGGAATATCACGTTTCACTCAAATGAGAGAAAGAATCCGGAGTTCCGACATCTGTTGACGATCAAGAATCAGGGACGCTGTCTCGTTTGCCAAGGTGTCAAAAATCAGATGGGCTGGTCACGTAATGAGATTTAAAGATGACCGCTGGACTAGAGCTGTTACCGACTGGATTCCACGAGATGTCAAAAGACCGCGTGGCCGCCCACCTACCAGATGGTCAGACTTCTTCGTCAAGATCATGAACGATCGTTTTGATGCTCTTCATGTTCCCATAGCGAACAGATGCCATTGGGCTACACTAGCACGAGACAGGGACAAAGGGAAACGTTACTGGCGCCCGCTCGAGCAAATCGAAGACTAATGGGAAGTTAAGTGATTAAGTGACAGTGGTTCCGTGGTTAGCTGGGGACAGTAAATTCTCAGAGCCGGTGGCCAAAATCCTGAAAGATTTGGACTCCCTGATTTGCTACTGAGCAATTTAGAGTCTCTTAATTCCAAACTGACCCCTGATAGTCTGCTCAGTGAAAATGGACTTGGGCTCTTTAAGTAACCCCTTCCACAGCTGTAGCTGTGTAGCTGTAACCACTGTAGCGAAGAGGTTCTGGAAATTCCTGTTGAAAGACTGTTTCTTCCGCTCAGCTCTGGTCTTAGTGTGATCTATTCTATCTAGTACCAGTCTCCTGCCATATATGAAAACCGGCAGCTTCATTGGCACAGTATTTGAACAGTTTTGAAAGAAAGTGCCCCAAGCAAGTAATTTTCTGTGAACAGCTTTGTGGCAAACCTTTGGGGGCATATTTCTAGCACTTTCCATCATACCACACAGCATCACAAGAATTTTACTATCATGCAGTGACCGGAGATGACTTCTTCCGCAAAGT